TTATATAAAGTCAGCTTATTGCCCCCACAAACTGGGTCCTCATTTAACCTACCTTAGAAAGGATGGAAGGCTGAGTCCACCTTGAGCCTGGCGAGATTCGAACTTGCAGTAATTGCAGGCAGCTGAATGTTAATAACAGGCTATTAGTCTGCTGCGCCACCAGGCTCTCCCTCCCTCCCTTCTTTTTCTCTTTCCTTTTCCTTTCTTTCTCTTCCTTCCTTTTTCTTTCCCTTTCCCTTTCTTTCTCTCTCTCCCTCCTTTCTTTTTTCTTTTTCCTTTCTTTCTCTCCCTCCCTCCCTCTTTCTTTTTCTTTTTTCTTTTTTCTCATTCTTTTTTCCCTTCCTTCCTTTCTTTTTCTTCCCCAGCTAGAGGACGATGGGAGTTGGAGTGACACAATTTGGGAGGATGCACAGACCCGGAGACCTGTGGGAAGGCAGCTGCTGAGGCTGCCACCTTCTTCCCAGCCTCGGTGGTCTTTCTGCAGCTGGGGCAGGATCCCTGAAACCTGAGCCAGCCGTGTGCGGCAGCAGCCAAAAAAGCTAATACGATCTTGGTTGTATATACAGAGGCACATACTCAAAATCATGTGAAGTCTTAGTACCGCTATATAAAGCCTTAGTAAGGCCACATCTGGAATTCAGCATCCAGTTTTGGTCACCACACAACAAAAAAGATGTTGAGACTCTGGGGGAAAAAAGAAGAGCAATTAAGATTAAATGCCTGGAGATTAAAATCTGAAGAACGGTTGCAAGAATTGGGTTTGGCCAGTCTAGAGAAAAGGAGGACTAGAGGGGACATAATAGCAATATTCCAACATTTGAGGGGCTGCCAGAAAAAAGAGGAGGGGGGTCAAGCTATTCTCCAAAGCACCTGAAGGCAGGAGAAGCAGCAATGGACGGAAATTAATCAAGGAGAGAAGCAACCTGGAATTAAGGAGAAACTTCCTAACACTGAGGACAATTAACCAGTGGAACTGCTTGCCACCAGAAGTTGTGGGTGCTTCCATCACTGGAGGTTTTTAAGAAGAGACTGGGCAGCCATTTGTCTGAAATGGGATAGGCCTGCTTGAGCAGCAGGCTGGACTAGAAGACCTCCAAGGTCCCTTCCAGCTTTATTTCGATTCTGAAGATAAATCTCCATCGTCCCTTCTCTGGACCCTTTCTCGCCATTTCTTTTTCTTCCCCAGGTAGAGGATGATGGGAGTCGGCGTTACACAAGACCAGGAGACCTGTGGGAAGACAGCTGCTGAGGCTGCCACCTTCTTCCCAGCCTCGGTCTTTCTGGGGTAGGATTCGCTCCCGCTGCCTGGCACATCCAACCTACCTGGCAGCCCCGGTCCTCCCTTGCCAGCCCCCCCTTCCCCCCGGCACACAGTTGCCTTGGCAGTGGCTGTATCCCCACCGTCAATTCTCCGTCTGGATCTGGTGCCAGGCAATGCTCAAATGAGCCATTACGGGCAGAGGGGAGCGTGCCAGAGCGGCTGGCAAAGGGAGTTTTGGAAAAGCATCTTTTTGATTGATCTTCCCTCCGTCTTCTGTCTTCTCTTTCGCTTATTTTCTGTTGACTTTGCAACAGGTCATTTAGTAACCGTTCCTAGTTACGGCACCGAGGCATGTGACTTACGACCGTTTTTCACACTTATGACCGTCACAGCCTCCGCAGTCACGTGATTTACGTTCAGATGCTTGGTGACTGACTCACTTTTATGACGGTTGCGCTGTCCCAGGGTCTCCTTCGGCGACCTTCTGACAAGCAAAATCAACGGAGGGAGGGGGGGAGATTCACTTAATGACCAGGTGACTTAATGACAGCGATTCACTTGACAGCAGGAAGAAAAGCCATAAAATGGAGCAAAATTCACTGAACCGTCTCGCTTAACAGAAATGTTGGGCTCGTTTGTGGTCGGAAGTCAAGGACGGCCGGTGTCTTGCTCTCGTTTACGCTCAAGTGGCAAAAAAAAATTAACGAACAAAGGGACAGCGAAGGGTTTTTTTTAAAGGCAATGGCCTGGAAGAAATGGGTTGCTTGTTCCCTTCTTCCAAGCACTTTTTATCATTTCTGTCCAGTTGCCAAGACTTGAGATTTCTTTGTGGTCTCCCATCCAAGCAGAAATCGGATGGTGGGCTGCCTGGCCCAGCTCAGTTCAGCCAGAGGCTGCCTCTAGAGTCCTGCCCCAGAGGAGACCTTAATGCCCCAAAGACAGACTTTAATTTCTCAACCGTGGTGCCTTTAAGGGGAGGGGACTTCAACTCCCAGAATTCCCCAGCCCACCTGGCTGCTTTAAGGCCTTCCTTCCTTCCCCAACCCTGGGCAAATCCTGAGCTCAGCACTGCCTCTGGTGGCCCCCTCTGGATCCTGCAGCACCCAAGAGCCAAACCAGAATGGCAGAGAGAGAGGATTAGATTAAGATTAAGATTAAGATTGGAGGGGGTGGGGAGAGGTTAGTTGGCCGGACAGGAGTAGATGATGGATAGATGATAGAGAGTAACAGACAGGCAGGCAGGCAGGCAGAGGATAGACGGACAGAAGCGGATAGACAGACAGACAGACAGAGGATAAATAGACAGACAGACAGAGTATAGACAGCCAGCCAGAGGATAGATAGATAGATAGATAGATAGATAGATAGATAGATAGAAGATAGATAGATGATAGATAGATAGATAGATAGATAGATAACAGAGGACAGACAGACAGACAGAGGATAGATAGATAGATAGGATAGGATAGACAGAGGATAGATAGATAAGAGGACAGACAGACAGACAGACAGAGGATAGATAGATGATAGAAAGGATAGACAGACAGACAGACAGACAGACAGAGGATAGATAGATGATAGAAAGGATAGACAGACAGACAGAAAGACAGAGGATAGACAGACGATAGACAGAGTATAGACAGACAATCGATAGACAGAGGACAGACAGACACAGCCAGAGGATAGATATAGATAGATGGATAGATGGATGGATAGATAGATAAGATAGAAAGAAAGGATAGACAGAGGATGGATAGATAAGATAGAAAGGATAGATAGACAGACAGACAGAGAGAGTATAGACAGACAGAAAGACAGACGATAGACAGCCAGAGGACAGACAGACAGACAGACAGAGGAGGATAGATAGATAAGATAGATAGATAGATAGATAGATAGATAGATAGATAGATAGATAGACTGACTGACAGGCAGGCAGGCGTGGGCACACACACACAGGAGAGAGAGAGATTGACAGACAGATGCATGCGTGTGCACCCAGAGGAGATAGCGAGAGAGACAAACATAAGATAGACAGGTGATAAGATAGAGAGACAGATAGGTAGGCAGATAAGTAGACGGATGGACAGGTAGGCGAGTAGATACTGCAGATAAAACAGGTAAATAGACAGGCTGACCGATTCATTCTGGGGCTTTAGTGCATCAGGTGAACCGACAATCACTAACAAACGGCAACCCAACCCGTTTTCTCCTGCGCCCATCTGCAGTTTCCTGGCTGGGCTCCAACCTTGCTAAGCCATGATGGTTTAATTGTGGTTCCATGCCATCCATCCCAATTGGCTAGGTTCACCCATCCCGCCGCCACAAGTTTAATAGGCTTCCAACCACACGTGTCCCCATTTTGACACATCACATGTGCAACAGAGCCACGAGAGAGGGGCAGGGCTTCAGCTGTGGGGATGGCACACACACACACCCCGTGCCTTGCACCCACCCCCCACCCCCACCGACCTCGTTCTTTCCCTGGTTAAACTCTGGCACCCAGAGACATGGCACACCTGTCTCGTTGCTGAAAAAAAGGTTTTTTCTCCCCTGGTATAGTCAGTCCTCGATTTACGACAGCTCGCTTAGTGACCGTTCGAAGTTACAAGAGCATGGGGGGGGAGAAGTGACTTAGGACCATTTTCTGACGAGCAGAAGTCAAGGGGGGGGGAAAGCTGGATTCACTTAAGAACCGTGTGACTAATTTAACACCTGCGGTGCTTCGCTTAACGAACGTGGCAAGGAAAGTTGTAGAGCGAGTCAAAAGCTCACTTAACAAATGTCTCACTTAGCAGCATAGATTTGGGGGGCTCTGTTGCGGTCAGTAAGCTGAGGACTGCCTGTATTTTGCTGCTCGGGGCAGGATCCGTCTCGGGAATCCGAAGTTGGCCGCTAGCCCGGCTACGTTTCAACTTTGACAGATACTGTTGTGGCATGTTGGCCACCGGCCCCTCCAGCAGCCGAATCAGAGGAGGAGGAGGAGACGTAGGAGTCAGGACCAGCATCAAGGCAACCTGGGAGCTCCGAGGGGGAAGAGGGAATGGAGCTGTCAGAGAGAGAGACAGAGGGAGGGGGAGGCAGACCCTGGGCCATCCGTCAGCCCTCCGATGGAGAGTCAACAGCTCCCAGGTCTGGAGGTGGCGGATGAGGAAGAGGAGGAACAGCTGGGTCCAGTGCCTGACATGTGGATGCACAGAAGGCAGAGGAGAGGAGAGCAGTGGAAATCTATGGGCCGGTCCTCGGGACGGAAGAGCCACTGCTGCTAGCGAAGCCCCACCCTAGCTCTGGGGAGAAAAGGCAAGGGGAGGAAACGAATAGATGTGGCAGACAACTATTCATCTGTCAACCCTCCGATGGAGAGTCAACAGCCCCCAGGTCTGGAGGTGGCAGGTGAGGAAGAGGAGGAACAGCTGGGTCCAGTGCCTGACGTGCAGATACACAGAAGGCAGAGGACAGGAGAGCAGTGGAAATCTATGGGCCGGTCCTCGGGACGGAAGAGCTACCACTGCTAGCGAAGTCCCACCCGAGCTCTGGGGAGAAAAGGCAGAGGGCGGAGATGAGTAGATGTGGCACACAACTAATCATCTCCCTGCCGGACTGACTTGTTAGCCTGCCATGCGAGAGAAACTTTTTGCCGGGGCGGCTGCCGCTCCTAATAAAGGAATCTTTGAGTGAACTTCAGAGGGTTTGCCGTGTTTGGGGAGCTGGGTCAGAACAGATAAGGGCACACATTGGGTGGGTGGGCTGCATTTTTTTTTTTAATTTACGGTAGGGAGGGGTAGAAGACTCTTATGAACAGGAGGCCACCACCCCCTGGCACCCCATCAAGGGCGCTGAGCCAATTCCAAGACCTGCCATGGCTGCGGAAAGGGGGAAGGGGATACCGAAGAGCCCAGGTTCCACTCTGAACCTGCCGACATTATGAGAAAATAGCTCCTGAAAGGAAGACCATCTCCTGCCGGCCTTCCACGCCGTGAGACCCTCTCTCTTTCCTCTCCCGCGTGGGTGTAGGTCGTCGTCCCCGTTCCCCCACGCCCCAAGGCAGCCCCACTGGGGTCCGGCTCAGCCTCTTGACTCAGCTGCAAGGGAAAGGACCGTTCCGGAAGCCTCTTCAGCGCGAGACGGAGGGCAGCGAGTTTCGGAACAGGCACAACTTTGGCAAAGCGCAAGCCGGAGTCCCGGCAGACCCAGAAGTCTGTGGGCTCAGCGTTGCCTCGCACCGTGCTCGGATGCCGGCAAGTTCCAAGTCTGAAGACCAGAAAAAGAGAGTCCGGGGGAGGGTCTCCCAGCATCTACATCCGAGCCAGCACCCCGGCCCAGCCCCGCTGCACCAAGGGGTCCCTCGTGCTGGACTCTGCGCAGGACGGGTGGGGGGACGGGGGACACACGCTCTGCAGGAGCTCTGCCGAGTCCCCCCCGGGGCCGACTCATAGGATCTGCTCGGTGCTGGAGGTAGAAATGTCCAGAAGCCGCCAGGCAGCGTAGGGGTTCAGCTCTTCGGGATCCCTGCAGAGGGCCCAGACGTACAACATCCGCAGGACTTTCCCCTGGAGGGAGAAACAGAAAGGAAGGGCAGGGGGGATTAAGAGTGGTTGCAGAAGACAACTCTGTCTGGAAAAGAACCCCCTACCCACACACACAACCTCCCCAAGCAAACAGCTGATTAAATGGCACTCCTGACCCGGCAGCCCCCTTGATTATCTAGACCAGGGGTCTGCAATCTTAAACACACAAAGAGCCATTTGGACCCGTTTCCCACAGAAAAGAAAACACCAGGAGCCACAAAAACCTTCCCGGGCCTGACTATTTCTTGAGCGGCTACAAAACTAGCAAATGTAGTTGGAATTAAACGTTCTGTTTTCTTCTAAAACTTTTCTTTTCTTGGATTTATCTATGGTTGGCCTGCCGGGGGTTGAAAAGCTCAATAAATCGCGTGCCAGGCGGGTGTCGCACATTGGCGGTTGTGACGCATATTTTGAGCGACAGGGAGCCGCAGCAGAGGGGTGAAAGAGCCACATGCGGCTCCAGAGCCACAGGTTGCTGACCCCCTGATCGAGACACAAAGCTGCAAATTGTCTATGGAGATTCTCCGTCGTCCAGGTCACGGCTCTCCCACAGGTGCTTGTTCAAGAGGCAACTGGACTTTGTGGTTCTTCTTTGAAGACGTTTCGCTTCTCACCCAAGAAGCTTCCTCGGCTCTGACGGGATGGTGGTGGGGAACGGAAGGGTTGATACTCCTTGCAGACAAAGCTGGTCATTTGCATCCTTTCAGAGAGTCCTTGAGGCCACTCGGAGGTTTGTCCGTGTCCTCAGGGTCACCTGAGTGGTGCAAATGGGGGGGGTGCTTCAATTGAACAAAGGGGGAGGGATACAACATCATCTACCTCCAGTCTACAGCCCAGTCCTTTCAACACTTCCAATAAGGCTCCAAGTGGCCTCAACGGCTCTCTTTAAAAAAACAATGCAAATGACCAGCTGTCTGCAAAGAGTCCCCTCCATCCATTCGGAGTTGAAGAAGCTTCTTGGATGAGAAGCAAAACCAGGGGTGAAATCTAAAATTTATGACTACCGGTTCTGTGGGCGTGGCTTGGTGGTGGCGGTGGGTAATGTGCCTGGGTGGGCGTGGCCAATTTTATTTTTTTTTTACTTTTAAAAGCATTTTTTCTACAACCTCTTTGGCGAAGAGGTTGTTAAAAAAATGCTTTTAAAGCTTCTGACGATCCCAGCTGACTTGCCTGATCGGCAGAGGCTTTTTTTCCCCTTTAAAAACATTTTTTCTATAACCTCTTCGGCTGAAGAGTTGGAGAAAAAATGCTTTTAAAAGCCTCTGGTGATCCCAGCTGAGCCGCGCGATCATCAGAGGCTTTTTTTTTAACTTTTAAAAGCATTTTTTTCAGCCGAAGAGGTTGTAGAAAAAATGCTTTTAAAGCCTCTGACAATCCCAGCTGATCGGCAGAGGCTTTTTTTCCCCTTTAAAAACATTTTTTCTATACATTTTTTCTACATTTTCAACCTCGGCCGAAGAGGTTGGAGAAAAAATGCTTTTAAAAGCCTCTGATGATCCCAGCTGAGCCGCGCGATCATCGGAGGCTTTTTTTTTTTTTTAACTTTTAAAAGCATTTTTTTCAGCCAAAGAGGTTGTAGAAAAAATGCTTTTAAAAATTAAAAGAAAAAAAGCCTCTGATGATTGTGCAGCTCAGCTGGCAATGAGGGGGGGTGCAGGGATTTTTGCTACCAGTTCGGGCGATTCAGTCCGAACCGGGAGCATTTCACACCCCTGAGCAAAACATCTTCAAAGAAAAATCAGAAAGTCCAGTGGCCTCTTGGGGAAGAAAAAGGACCTTTCAGACAAAAGCTGCAAGTTGTAGGAGATGACTAGGCTGAGCCCGAGTGAGGGGTGGGTGTGTCACACGTATCATCAGTCATGAGTCTCTGCACCCTCACCCCCCACCCCTCCAGAGAGTTCTAAGTCTAGCCCACCTTGAATTCCTTTCTATTTTGAACCAACAGCGCTGGCTGGGGGATTCTGGGAGTTGAAGTCCACCCATCTTCAAGCTTCCAAGGTTGAGAAACACTGTTCTACAGGTTAAGTCCTTGACTTACGATAGTTCTGTTTAGTGACCGTTCCACGTTACAACGGCACTGGGGGTAAAAAAAGTGACTCGCGACCATTTTTCACCCTCCTGACCGTTACAGCATCCCCACGGTCATGCGATTTGCATTTGGATGCTTGACCACTGGTTCGGATTTACGGCGGTCACAGTGTCCCGTGTGTGTGTGTGTGTGTGTGTGTGTGTGTGTGACGTGATCCCCTTTTGCGACCTTCTGGGCCAACAATGGAGAAGCCAGGTTCACTTAACAACCGTGTGACCAATTTAACCACTGCAGCAGCCATTCACTTAAGAACGGGGGCAAGAAATGTCGTAAAACGGGGCGAAACTGACTTAACGAATTTCTCCCTTAGCGAACATAAATTTTGGGCTAGATTTGTGGTCGTAAATTGGGGGGGGGAAGTATCTGTAGAGAGCTTAAGCTTGCAATAAATCTTTATACTCTGGGTCTTCTCAACTGGGCAGCTGCTGGGCTTTTCAGCCTGCCGGCCGATGACCCTCCCTCCCTCGGCTCTGAGGCAGTCCAGAGGGTCCCTTCGCCTGGTGAGGGGTCTCCCCCAAAGCACTGCAAAATCCTCTATACACGTTCAGGGGTAACAGAGGCCCCGTTTTCTGCACAAGTCCGAATTGGGGTGTGTGGGTTTCTCTTGAAAATTGACTCTTCCCCAGCATGGTCTCCGGGGGTTCGCACCGAACCTGCGGAGGTGAAGAGGTCAACGATAATCTGAAAGGGGGCTGATTAAGCACCTCCTTTTCCTTCCCTTCCTCCCTGCAACGAAGCAAAAAGGAGAAAATGAGTTTGGCCCCTCCTCTAAAAGACCCCTCCCAACTCCTGGCCCACAAGTCAGGAGCCTGACGCTGGGGAGCCAGGGAACAGGAGACTGGGGGAGGGGGGGGTGTCTCTGTCAGTGAAAACGGAGCTTGGGAGGGCCGCCGGTGGCTCTCCCGAGCTCCGCTTTTGCTGGCAAAGGGTTGCAGGAGGCCGTGGCAGCCAAAAATGGAGCTTAGGAGCCCGTTTTTGCCGGCAGAGTGCTCGGGCCACCACAGCCCCCCCTCCGACACAATTGGCGTTGACGCCCACAGTCAAACACAACCCTGATGCGACCCTCAATGAAATCGAGTTTGACACCCCCTGGCCTAGGGGCTAATCTTTATCTGCCTTCTCAACCGAGGTTGTTGAATTTGGCACCATTCGAATGGTGGGCAGGGAAGCCATCTCCCCTCCCCTATCCCCCCCCCCAGTGGATAAGCCCCTTACCGGATCTCCTTCCACCACCTCTCCCTTCTGGTTCTTAATCACCATCACGAGCTGAGCCTGGAAGGTGATGATCAGCACCGGGCCCTGTTCCATCATCTTCCCCATCGCCAGCTGAAAAGAGAGGATGTTTCAAGGTGCTAGTCCATAAGATGTCGCTGTGACTGGTCCAGCACAAGCTTCGAAACACTTTTAAGTTGCTCAACATTTATGGAGATTCTCAGTCATCCAGGTTTATCCCACAGGTGGGTTTTTTTTGGTTTTCAAAGGAAAACCTACAAAAGAGAGGGGGGAAGGGGGAGGAGGAGAGAGACAAAGATAGATAGATAGATAGAGTAAATGATACAGACAGATAGACAGAGAAACAATAGAGATTAGATAGATAGATAGATAGATAGATAGATAGATAGATAGACAGACAGACAGACAGACAGACAGACAGGTAGACATAGAAAGATTAAACGATACAAACAATAGAGATTAGATAGACAGAGATAGATATAGAAGATAGATTAAATGATAGAAACAGATAGACAGAAACGATACGAGATTAGATAGATAGATAAATAGATAGATAGATAGATATAGAAGACAGATTAAACAATACAAACAATAGATTAGATAGATAGATAGATAGATAGATAGATAGATAGATAGACAGAGATAGATAGATAGATAGATAGATAGATAGATAGATAGATAGACAGACAGAGATTAAATGATAGACAGAAACAATAGAGATTAGATAGAAAGGTAGGTAGGTAGGTAGGTAGGTAGATATAGAAGATAGATTAAACGATACAAACAATAGAGATTAGACAGACAGATAGATAGATATAGAAGATAGATTAAATGAGAGACAGATAGACAGAAACGATAAGAGATTAGAAAGATAGATAGATAGATAGATAGGTAAGATAGATTAAATGATAGAAACAGATAGACAGAAACGATAAGAGATTAGATAGATAGAAAGATAGATAGATAGATATAGAAGATAGATTAAACAATACAAACAATAGAGATTAGATAGATAGATAGATAGATAGATAGATAGATAGATAGATAGATAGAGATTAAATGATAGACAGAAACGATAGAGATTAGATAGAAAGGTAGGTAGGTAGATATAGAAGATAGATTAAACAATACAAACAATAGAGATTAGACAGATAGATAGATATAGAAGATAGATTAAATGATAGAGACAGATAGACAGAAACGATAAGAGATTAGAAAGATAGATAAGATAGATAGATAGATAGATATAGAAGATAGATTAAATTATACAAACAATGGAGATTAGATAGATAAATATAGATTAAATATAGAAAATAGATTAAACAAGAGACAAATAGAGATTAGATAGACAGATAGAGATAGATATAGAAGATAGATTAAACGATAGACAGAAACGATAGTTTAGATAAATAGATATAGAAGATAGATTAAACAATAGAGAGATAGACAGAGAAATGATAGAGATAGATAGATAGATAGATAGATAGATGATAGATAGATAGATAGATAGATAGATAGATGATAGATAGATGATAGATAGATAGATAGATAGATAGATAGATAGATAGATAGATAGATAGATAGATGATAGATAGACAGACAGACAGATAGATGCATGCATGCATGCATGGACAGACGGATGCATGGACGGATGGGTAGGTAGTTGGGCAGGGAGGGAGGCAGACAGACATAGTGAATGGATGGATGGATGGATGGATGGAGAGACAGAGAGAGAGAGAGAAAGTTCACCCCAAATTACAGATGGATTCCCCCTGGAGCCCCCCACTGGGCTTTCTTGGGAACGATGCCCGTGCATGTCTTAAGTGATGAAAAAGGTAGGAATGTCCACAAAAAAACCTAATTTGGTGCACCTACTCCAAAGGGGGCGGGGGGGGGGGGGGAGGTTAAGACCAGAGAAGGTGGGAAGAGAAGCTCCCGGGGAATACCTGGGCGTTGGGGGAAAAGGTCTCTTCCGCTGGAGCTCTTTTGGGTGCAAGAGAGTCCAAACTAGCGTTTGGGGGTTCGCAAGAGTTCCCGAGCGGGAAGGGGCTACTCACATCCACGTTGTCCACGTCCAGGATTTTGGAGTGGAACTGGAGCCCCATCGCTCTGGCCTGCTGGATGGGATGGGCCAGCTGGCTGTAGGTCTGAAAGAGAAGAAGGCAGCGCCCGTTTAAGAGAGTCCGGTCCTTCGGCCCCACAGGATGCGCGGGGTCGGAGGCACCTGTACGGAAACCTCCGCAGAAGGGACATTTTTTCCTCCAAGGGGAATCAAGTTCCCAGTCCTCAAGGCTGCGTAGGGCCGTTTTAAGAATCAGGCACCCCCAAATCTGCCTTAAAAATATCTATATTTATCACGGTCCCTCATCTTATGCTTTGGTTAAATTAACCAAAGCATCAGAAATCCTGTGAGATAGTAAAAGAGGTAACTTTTACTCACTCACAGTGCCTGGTGGCTCAGCAGACTGATAGCATTGTGATTAACACCATGTCAGACTGCGATGCTATCTCAAAATTAAATGAATTTCCAAACTGCCAATCTTTAAGGAAATCTTTCTTTAATTGAGCACAGCCACCGGATCATGACTCCACGTGGACAAGACTGACCTTTTGACCCCCAATCCCTCCCTTTCCGATCCCCAGATCTCTGCTTCTCATTGGCTATCTTCCAAGCCATTCTTCAGACTCCTTTTCTCGTCATTTCCCAGGAATGTGCCCCCTCCCCTCATTTCCACGACAACCCGGCTTCAAAGGGATTTAGCAGGCAAAAGTTTCAGAGTTTATCTCTCGCTCTCCTCTGCTCTCTATGCCAGCGTTGAAACGCTGACACACCAGCTGTAAGTTCGAATCTCACCAGGCTCAAGGTTGACTCAAGCTTCCATCCTTTCTAAGGTAGGTTAAATGAGGACCCGGTTTGTGGGGGCAATAAGCTGACTTTGTATAAATATACAGAAGTATGAAGGCTATTGCTTAACGCATTGTAAGCCGCCCGAGTCTCGGGAGAAGGGCGGCATATAAATCAAATTTAAAAAAAAACAAAACTTCTTTATACAGGCAGGAAGTCCCTGACTTATGACTGGTGGCTTAGAGGTCATTTTTAAGTTACGAGGGGCCCCAAGAAAAGCCCGTAATGAGCAGCGGATTCGCTTTACGACTGCAGTTTGCTTAACGACCGCCTCGCAAATCACACAGGTCACCATTTTAAAGAGACCAAGAGGCAGAAGCTGCACCCAGAGAGGAGACTGAAGGGGAGCTGAAGAGGCTGCCGCTCAGAGGAGCTGGGGACCAAGGCAGATGGCGGGGGTGGGGGGGTGAGCCATGAGCCAGCCTTGCTTCTCCACCCCCCTCCAGCCCCAACTCCCCACCCCACCCCGGCTTTTCTCCGGGGCCCCTGAAAACCTTTCCAATGCTCCCCATCCCCAGCAGCCGTCCTCCCGCAGAGACTCACCGCTTCGTAGCACCAGTCCTTCAAGATATCCAGATCTCCGGAGATCATAGCCTATGGAAAGGGGAGAGGAGATGCTTGTCAGGTGTGTGGGTTGTGTGTTGCGGGCAATGGATGGATGGGGAGGGGCGCCAGGGGTGCCCTGAGCAAGAGGGAAGGACAAAGCTGGCATGGGAGAGGGTTTAAACTAAGTTTGTTTCCTCTGAAGACCCTGGATAGCTGGTTAGTCCTGCCGGGATTTAACTCTGGTGTCAGACTTCGATGCTATCTCAAAATAAATGAATTTCCAAACTGCCAATCTTTAAGGAAATCTTTTCTTTAATTGAGCACAGCAACCGGATCATGACTCGATGCGGACAAGACTGACCTTTTGCCCCCCAATCCCTCCCTTTCCGATCCCCAAATCTCTGCTTCTCATTGGCTATCTTCCAAGCCATTCTCCAGACTTCTTGTCTCGTCATTTCCCAGGAATGTCTCCCCCTCCTCATTTCCACGACAACCCGGCTTCAAAGGGATTTAGCAGGCAAAAGTTCAGAGCTTATCTCTCTCCTCTCTATGCCAGCGCTGAGGCGCTGACAGCTGGCTGCTCCCATTGCATTTAAAATGGGAATCGGATGGAGAGGCTATCCTGGTAGGGAAGAAAGGAGGTGTCAGAACCTCCAGCTGGGGTGTTCTGACATTAAAAGGCGGGGGGGAAGAAACCAAGGGGCAATTTGCTGTACAGGTAGTCCTCAACTTACGACCACAATTGAGCCCCAAATTTCTGTTGTAAAGTGAGACATTTGTTAAGTGTGTTTTGCCCCGTTTTTACGAACATCCTTGCCTCCGATGTTGAGGGAAACATTGCAGTGGATGAGTAGGCCACTCGGTTGTTAGGTCAATCTGGCTTTCCCCGTGGACTTTCGCTCGCGAAGTCACAAAAGGGGATCACATGACCTTGGGACGTAAGGATGAACCCGTTGTCAAGCATCTGAATTTTGATTCCCCTGATCAATGGGGGATGCTGCGAAGGTAGGTTGTCACTGTGAAAAACGGTCCCAAGTCACTTTTTTCTGTGCCCGTTGTAACTTGGGAGTGGTCACTGAATGAACTGTTGTAAGTTGAGGACTACCTGTGTATGGTGGGAAATTAGGAGGTTGGGGAGGGAGGGGATTGACAGTTGAAAAAGAAGAGAATCCAATTCGTGCTGGCATGCTGGCATCTTCAATTCCGTTTGCCCCGAGAGTGGAATTTCAGCAGCCTAAACACTTCAGCGTTTCCCAAAACATGTCGGCGGTACCAGGAGGGGAGGGACCACGGAGGGGAGGGAAGGGAAGGGGAGGGAGGGCTTGGGGAAATCAGGGGTTCTAGCTCTGTATTGGCACGGTAATTTTAGATTTTGCTTGACTCTCCTGCAATCAGAATCTCTCAGCAAAAGTGCCTTTTGACTTCAATTTAATGGAGTCGAGGGTTTCACTTGCCTAAGGGATCAGACCAGGGCAGGTCTGACACTGTCATAAATAAGTCCCGTCATCGTCCCCGCCCCCCCCCCCCCCAAATCCTTTATTTCTGGCCAACGAAACTTCTCTTAGCACAAGTGCCTTTTCACTTCAATCAAATTGAGCTGAGAAATGCTTCAGGTCATGTTTTAGGAGGACTGGTTTTGATGCTGTAGAAGATGGAAGATTGACTCATATACTTTGGTCTTGTCCTAAATTATTTTCAGCTGAAAACATTTTCAGGCTTATTAACATTCAGGATGGACTGCCATAGGTGGAAATGCGCTTTTTTCATGCTTACAATGCAGCATTTGGAAACTATGAAATATTCTTTATTCTTTATTTATTAAATTTATATGCCGCCCCTCTCCGCAGACTCAGGGCAGCATAAAATGATATGTATCATGTTTTTGGGAGCGGGGACGGGAATTAAGTCTGGAAGGACAAACCTCTGTCTAATGTGCAGCAATGATGGTTGATACATTTTTTTTAACGAACTCTTGAAACTCTTTTAATATTTTTAATTAAATTTATATGATGTCCAACTCATTATCAAGCGACTCTAGGGATCAGACTGGGGCAGGTTTGACAGGAGGAAGACAGCTGATCTCCCTGCTCTAAGAGGCCTCTGGGGAAGACCTCCCCCCACCCCAATCTCCCCCCAAGGAGCCACAGAGGTACCAGTGGCTGCTCGGCTCAAGCTCCCTCCTATCCTTCCATCCTGCAGGAATTTTACTATTCGTTTTAACGACCGTTCAGTTACAATGGCACTGAAAAGCGGGACTTGCCACTGGTCCTCGCGCTTACGACCGCTGCGGTCAGAACCGCTGGAGGTCAGCGGGTTCGACAGATGAGACTGCCGGTCCAACATCTGTCGGCTGCAAGAATCGGCATTCTTTGCTGCGATTTTACAAGGTAGTCCTCGGCTTACGGCCACAACTGTTGGTAGTCCTTGACTTGCGGCCACAGTTGTTCACGCCCCGAAGAGCTGGCCAGGTGTCCTGCCAGACCCCTTTCTCCTCTGCTACCCCCGTGAAGTCTGGGCTTCTTATGGGGAGGCCGGGCTGGGGAACCCACACCTCTCTCCCCCCCCACCACCACCACCTACCTCGAGAACATTGGGGATGATGTCAGCTTGGCACTGCTTGAGGAACTGGTCCTTGTCGAAGTTGGGGTCAACGCGCAGGATCTCCGTAAGGACCTCGGACATCTCTGTCTTGGAGAAGAGCCCACCTGCCGAAGGGAGAGAGGGGATGGCTAAGCAGGAAGGATCCATTCCCTGCCCTTCAGAAGGAGGGGAGGGGGAACCCAGGGAGTCGGTGTCTTTCCCCAAACCAGCACTTCCTTCTCTTTCTTCGTCCCTCCCAGCCCTGCAGGGATGGCTCGAGGGCAGCTTGGCTCAACGGAGGCTCGTGGGGCAGCAGGGACCGTTAACGCCCCTAGGTCTGTCTTTAGTATTTCTCAACTGTGGGCCCTTTAAGATCTACGGACTTCGACTCCCAGAATCCTCCAGCCAGTTATGCCCCCAGATCTGTTTTCACCAGTGTTTCTCAACTGTGGGCCCTTTAAGATCTGCAGACTTCAACTCCCAGAATTCTCCAGTCAGCTATGCCAGCTGGAGAATTCGGGGAGTTGAAGTCCACAGATCTTAAAGGGGGCACAGTTGAGAACGAGTGGTCTTCACCCTGGGCTGAATCAACCAATCTATAAGCCCCAATCCAGACTTTGGTCTTGCAATCGTCCCCGTGTTGAGACCCTCGTGAAATTGAAAGCCCTCTGCCGAAACCGGTAGGGTGACCATAGCGTTAACCCCGGGCAATCGTCGTAAGGCTGAGCCAGTTGCCAAGTGTCCGAATTTGGATCACAATGACCGCAGGGATCCTGCAACAGTCGTTCAGTGCGAAAAATGATTGACGGAAGTCAATGGTTTCAATGCTGTTGTAATTTCGGTCACCAAATGAACCGTCGTCAAGCAATTTTGGAAGCCTTGCATTTGTTACAGGGAAACACGTTTTTTGCCAGGTCCTGCCAGCGGCCAGCCAGAAATGTCCCTTGCCCACCAGAGAGAGAGAGAGAGAGAGGAGGGAGACAGACCTATGAAGTCAGTCACTTTGTCCGTCATGACGCGCGAGGCACGGATGAGGGCGTTGTCACTCTCGTCGTATTTCATCTTCATTTCAAAAAACCCTAAGAAAACGGAAAGGGACCTCTGGAAGAACAAATATGGACCCTGTGATCTGCCCCAGCTACGGACCCCAAAGAATGCAGCACACACAAAGTCTGTACAAAACTTAATTTACTAAAATAACTCAAGTCTTTTTCAAAACAAAGGCTGCTAATAAACTTCCTTAACAGCCTACAAGAAACCAAAGATAAAGTAATCACAATCTTACTAAGGTTGGCAGAAAGCCCAGAAGCAATTTGCAGAGAATCCAGACACGAAGGAGAGTGAACTAAAGTTGTTCCCTACAAATTGCTTCAGTCGGCGTTCCTCCTTAAATAGGCTAAGGGAGTGGCCAATTAGCCCCAAGCCTTACTCTCGAGGAGACCTCCTCCTGAGGAGCCACTCCTGCCTTTTGGCAGCTCTGCGCGCCCGTGCATTGAGAAGAGGCTCCTCCTCTTCGTCCTCTTCACTTAAGGGAGCTTCTGAAGGCCCTGGCTGAATCCCCGCCTCTGGCACCACATCTTCTCCAGCCTCCTCACTGTCTGACTCGAGTGCCAACTGCACAGGCTGCTGGTGCAGCACCATACCAGCCTCCACGCTGTCAGAATCAGCTACAATTTGCACAGGCCACTGACGGGCCACAACACCCTGGGAAACCAGGAGAGGGTCGCTTTGAAAATAGGAAACGTGTTTCCTAGAGCCGTGATGGGGAACCTATGGCACAGGTGCTGGAAGAGGCACACAGAGCCATCTCTCCAGGCATGCCAGCTGCCGCCTGTTGCTCTTCCGGGTTCCAGGGCATGCATGCGCACCGGCCACCTGGTCTTCAAACGCACATGCGTGCCAGAAACAGGAATACCAGGTGGTCGGTTGTGCATGCACGCTCCCATTTCAACACTCAGTTTCACCAACACTGTCCTAGAGTCTTAAAAATGGGTTCAAATAGCACAGGGGTGTCAGATCCGGCCCGTGATGTGGTTGGAACCGGCCCGCAGGGCCATCCTGGAAAATGTAAGGGGCCGGCCCTTGTCACTTCGGCCCGGTCTACCCAATGCAAAGAGGAAACATGCCAGCAGTTTGGGGAGTGGCACCAAGCTGGCCACACCCACCCAGGCGGCCACGTTCCCACCCACCCACCCCGCCCCGAGGTCAACCACAGCCCTGATGCAGCCCTCAATGAAATTGAGTTTGACACCCCTGAAATAGCAGAAAAGATTCTTTAGAGTTGACCGGACCCTTCAGATCAGGGGTCCCCAACCCCCTGGGCCGTAGCCCACTACCGGGCATCAGCCCATTTGGAACTGGCGGGGTGTCTCACTCACAGCTTCGCTCACACATGCAGCTCGCAGCTCCTCGCGCTCGCTTGCACCAATGGAGCCGTACGTGCTCGTGCGCATGCCCCTGCCATTCGCACAAGACCATCCCCTCTTCTCTCCCCCACCCCATGGCCAGGCCGCCAAGCCAGAAAGGCTGGGGGGGTCGGGCTGCTTCAGATCACGTTTTACGAGGATTGGTTTTGATGCTGGAGAAAACGGAAGATTGACTCATATACTTTGGTCTTGTCCTATATTATTTTCAGCTGAAAGCCACGGGTTTATTAAGATTCAGGAAGGGCCGCCATAGATGGAAATGTGTCTTTTTTATGCCTATAATGCAGCGTTTGAAAACTACGAATTTTTTTTTCATGCGGGGGCCCCCCTCAAAACTGGAAAGACAAACCTCTGTCTAATGTGCAGCAATGATGGTTAATACTTTTTTTTTTTAACGATCTCTTGAATCCTTTATTTTTAATTAAATTTATATACCGCCCGTCTCACTATCAAGAGACTGGGCAGTCTTACAATGTATCAAACAGTAAATGGACCTAATAAAACATTAGGATTTGGGGCATTAAAAGTTAAACATTTTTAACAATCTTTTAAAGGCGGACAAATGTTTGGGAATCCTGTTTATTGTTGTTTCCTAACCATAAAATTATGACAGCTGAAAAGATCCGTTCCAGGCTCCCTGAGTAGAGACTATTTATTTATTCTACTTCTTAAATTCATTCTCTGCCGTTCTTGTTTCAAAGTGACTCCGGGTGATGGAGAGGGAGGGATCCTACAGTACTTACTGTACTATACTTCCATGTCAGAAGCACTTCCGGGTTGAAGGATTATCCGGTGACATCACCATTGCCCAGGGAATGCCAGATGGGGGTTTCCTTTCCTGTCCCTATTAAGCTGCCCACCAAAGTGGTACCCATCTATCGACTCGTGTGGTTGCCCGCTTTCAAACTGCTGAGTCGGCAGGAGCTGGAGCGAGTGACGGGCGCTCACCCCGTCCTGTAGCAGCAACCGGGTCTCGAGCCGACCATTCGTCAGCCTGGTACCCTAACCACATGACCCACTGCAATCCCATATACGTACGGTTGAAAACCACGTTGTTGTCCTTGAACTCCTTCCACTGCTGGTACCACTTGGAGTCTTTGTGTAGGACCATGCCCATCGCTTGCCTGGAGGGGGAAAGAGAGGGAAGTTAGGGAAGGAGGCCGGCGTGTCCCCCTACTTATCCCCGTCGCTGATTTTCCAGACGTTCAGAAGGGGAGCTTTTTTCCGGCTCCCTTGGAGGAAACCCTCGCAGCCAACCGCCCGCAGGGCCCCAGGGAGAGCAACGCAGATGCGCTAGGGATTTCCCAGTTCCATTTGAAGATGCCCAGGAACTAAACTGAAGGGGGGGAGGACTTTCAAAGGGGAAAAAGCCCTCTGCCCCTCTATGAGTCTTTAGGATTGTTTCTCCCAGGGGCAGGTCAGCCTCTAGTAGCCGAATCAGAGGAAGAAGAGGCGTGGGAGTCAGGGCCAGCATTAAGGCAACCTGGGAGCTCCGAGGGGGAAGAGGGAATGGAGCTGAGAGAGAGAGAGAGAGAGAGAGAGACGGAGGCGGAGCCTGGGCCGTCTGTCAGCCCTCAGATGGAGAGTCAACAGCCTCCAGGTCTGGAGGTGGCAGATAAGGATGAGGAGGAACAGCTGGGTCCAGTGCCTGACACTCGGATGCGCAGAAGGCAGAGGAGTGGAGAGCAGTGGAAATCTATGGGCTGGTCCTTGGGATGGAAGAGCCACCGCTGCTAGAGAAGGCCCCACCCTAGCTCTGGGGAGAAAAGGCAGGGGGCGGAGATGAGTAGATGTGGCAGACAACTATTCAACTTCTGGCCGGAAGGACTTGTATGCCTTTTGTGAGAGAGAGATTTTTTGCCAGGGCTGCTGGCGCTCCTAATAAAAGAATCTTTGAGTGAACTTCAGAGAGTTTGTAGTGTTTGGGGAGCTGGGTCGAAACAGATTTTGCCTCTCCTGATGTTTCAGCTGCAGCCCTGGGTAAAATAGGACAAGTTTCCTTTCCTGCCACCACCACCCTATTGCCCCAAAGCAAGCTGCCCGCTCCCGGAGCCCCTGGGAAGGCCGTTCCCAGTTCTGACACCCACTCGTTGGCTTCAAATATCCGCTCGTCTTTCAGCCTTTCGCTGGCAGATTCTGTCCTTTTCCGGAGTCTCTCTGGACGCCTGTAAGGGCCTGTCTGACCCAGCACGCTCTCGTCAATCTCCTTCCGGACGGTCTCCATGCCCTGGGAAGGGAAGCGCTGTTACACGTAAGCCGCGAGGAACTCGATCTGCTCATGAAAAATCCAAATCAATCAATCAATCAATCAATCAATCAATCAGAATAGAGCTGGAAGAGACCTTGCAGGTCTCCTAGTCCAGCTCCCTGCTCAAGCAGGAGACCTTGCATAGTTTGAGACAAGTAGCTGCCCAATTTCTTTTTAAAAACTTCCAGTGTTGGAGCACCCACAACTTCTGGTGGCAAGCTGTTCCACCGGTTAATTGTCCTCACTATCAGGAAGTTTCTCCTCAGTTCCAGGTTGCTTCTCTCCTTGATTAGTTTCCATCCGTTGCTTCTTGTCCTGCCCTCAGGGGCTTTGGAGAATAGCTTGTCTCCCTCTTCTTTGGAGCAACCCCTGAGATATTGGAACACTGCTATCAGGTCTCCCCTAATCTTTCTTTTCATTAACCCAGACATACCCAGCTCCTGCAACCGTTCTTCATATGTTTTAGTCTTCACGCCCTTAGTTGCTGTTCTCTGGACTTTTTTCCAAAGTGTGAACAACAATAAAGTTGTTGATTTTTTCCCCCAAAGGTTGCTCGCCTTCTTCCCTTGGGAACCAGCCAGATAAGGTTGCATGGAAGGTAGAGAGGGTCAGGGTTATGCCTCTTGCAGCTGCGTAAGGACTCAAGGCTGGTTCCCTTCTTGACTCCTCCTCCCTGCTTAGCTGCCACTTTCCCAACCTTGCAGCACGGAGGAAAGGGGGAGAGGAAGTCCCGGGAGCGATAGCGACCACAGAGAAACCCAGCCTGAGCCAACTCTCCTGCCCTCCACAGAGGAGCTGAACCTGTCCCGGCCGGGGTGACACCTGACCAAAGAAGGGGACTTGCCTGTGAAATGGCCTTGAATGCTGCAGTCCGGCCCAGTTTTTCTCCTCCCTTGGAGACTGTTTCTGCAGACTGCTTCGCTGTTTTGGCAGCTTCCTCCATTCCTTCCATGATCTTCCGGCCAATCTCGCTCTTGCTGACTTCATCTATGCTCTGCGACCAGAGGGAGGGAAAAGGAAGAAGAACAGAAGAACAGGGTCGGAAGGGACCTCGGAGGTCTTGTAGTCCAACCCCCTGCTTAGGCAGGAAACCCTACACCACTTCAAACGGTTATCTAATCTCCTCTTAAAAACTTCCAGTGTTGGAGCATTCACAACTTCTGGAGGCAAGTTATTCCACTGATTAATTGTTCTGTTAGGAAATTTCTCCTAAGTTCTAAGATGCTTCTCTCCTTGAGAGAAGTTTCCACCCACTGCTTCTTGTCCTGCCCTCAGGTGCTTTGGAGAATAGCTTGACTCCCTCTTCTTTGGGGCAGCCCCTGACATATTGGAAGACTGCTATCATGTCTCCCCTGGTCCTTCTCTTTATTAAACTAGACATACCCAGTTCCTGCAACCATTCTTCATGTTTTAGCCTTCAGTCCCCTCATCATCCTGGTTGCTCTTCTCTGCACTCTTTCTACAGTCTCAACCTCTTTTTTACATTGTGGTGACCAAACCTGGATGCAGAATTCCACTTTTCCTCCTCTCATTTCCCATTATTTTTATTTTATTTTCTATTCTGATAAACTAATAAAAGGAAGGAGGCTGACTCTTGGGAGGAATCAGCATGGACTCCTTTACTCTCGGCCTCCCACCAAGTGGAATACACCAGCGCAGTGAGGGCTCCTAAGATGACCCCAGGGCCGGGAGGACACCTCTCTGTGGTTCTTACCTCCTTGACGGTGCCACTGATTTCTCCCAATTTCTTTTTAAGCACTTCCGAGGTCTTGACGGTTTCAGACTCGATGGTTTTCTGCAAAAAAGGAAGCAGAAATTGGGGTGGCAGAGGGAGAAGTTAATTCTCTTCTCAACCAATGACAGCTCTGTGATTTAAGTTCTTCTGAATGGACCACCATCTCTTGAGGATCCAACACAGCTACAGTCTCAGAATTTCATGAGTAAATTGGAACCCTTTTATTCCCCCCAGTAGGATCGGCCTCTGATCTCTCAGGCGGCTCTAAGCAGTGCGGCTGGTGGGTTGGTTTGTCCCTTAAGGGGAGGGGACCTTCAGCCTCCCGCAACACAAGAGAGCTTTAAAAGAAACTCCAGGAGGAAAACTCTTTAGCAAATATCCATCTAATAAAAGGAGAATATTTGCAGCTCAGGGTTGACATGAGGGAGTCCTTGGTGCTCCTTGAAACCCCTGGTGGGTTTTTTGCCAAACGTTTCATGGCCCAACTAGGGAACAACATCAGTGCTATAAGGGAATGGGGTTTGTGGAAGAGGAGGAGGAGGAGGAGGAGGAGGAGGAGGAGGAGGAGGAGGAGGAGATGACGATGATAATTCTGGGGTCCTTGGTGCTCTCTGAGCTTGGTGGTCTTCTTGCAAATGTTTCATAACCCAGCTAGGTAGCCGAGGTGGCGCAGTGGTTAGGGTGCAGTACTGCAGCTACTTCAGCTGACTGCTAGTTCAGCAGATCAGCGGATCAAATCTCACCGGCTCAAGGTTGACTCAGCCTTCCATCCTTCCAAGGTGGGTAAAATGAGGACCCAGATTGTTGGGGGGCAATATGCTATTTAGCATACTGTCTTTGGTGTAAGCTGCCCACAATCCTCGGAGAGTGGGCGGCATAGAAATAGGAATAATAAAAAATAAAATAAAATAAAAAAACATCATCAGTCTTGTTAGGATATGGTTTGAGCCTAACAAGTTGTCCAGGCAATATAAGTGTACTGTAACTAAATGTATTATGTGACTTTAATGCTGAGTCATGCTGTAATTAGGTAATCACTGGTTGTGAGAGTATTTAAGCAAGGTATTGTAACGTGTTCAGTTGCTGCTATGATATGCTGCCATTGTGTATGAAGCTGATGTGATATGCTACCATAATGTTCATCAATAGACACATAGACATTAACAACATCTGTAGACCATGCAAAAGAGACAATCACTCAGCCCAAAAAAGGAACAAAAAAGCACTTCTCCACCAGCTGTCAGCACCCAGATCAGCGTAGATTAACTCCAAGGTTAGCATCAGACCAACTGCCAAAAGAAGTCAACTGCAAACAGCCCAAGGGAAGAATCTCTAAGACCTCCCACGCCCACCAACACTGACAGAGCAAGCCACCCAAATATAAACTGACAGCAAACCGCACTCCTCACTAGCACTGATGATGTTACCTACTTGGGTCGTGAAATGTCTGCAAACAAGCAAACTCAGAGAACACCAAGGACCCCTCAAATATCCATCTTGAGAATGATTCTTTACCTTCTGGGTTTGAACACAGACGTATCATCCTGACCAGGGGTCACCAACCTTTGCAAATTTATGTTGTGGCTCCGTTGCCTGAGCCTGGGCTATCGACAGATGCAGACTCTGAGAGTGAGGGAGAGGAGCTGGCAAGGCCTCCCTCTCCAGGACCCTCCTCTCTGGCAATGCCTCCGGAGGACACCGAAGGCCAAAAGATAGGCTCAGAGCCAAGCACGTCCCCGCAGCCACAGGTGGACAGCGACGAGGAAGATAAGTGCTGGCTGGATCCTCGACAGCGGCGCAGGGAGAAGCGTGTGCAGCAGAAGGGAAGGCATGCCAGAGATTAGCTGAGTCACTGGACCACACCCCACAGGGTATAAATGTGGGTGTCGTGGCTGGTTCAGTTTGTGACAAGCAAAAACTGGAAATACTCTACAATCTCTGTGTTACTGGACTTTGCCTGCTTTATCGGACTGCATTTGGATTAATCCTTGTATTGTTGACACTCTGCCTGTTTTATCGGAATGCTGGCAGTCTAATCTTTGTTTTGTGTGAGTAAAGTCTGAATTGGCAGCTAGACACTGGGTTGCTGCCAGCTTTATCTTCAAAGAGTTTTGTCGTGTGGCTTATTAACTCCGGGCCGTCCGTGGGGGTGTGTGTGGGGTACGGGGACAGAACAACCATTACAGACAAGCAGTTGTCCAATCTCTTCTTAAAAACTTTTATAGAGAATTTTAAGAATTACCTGCCAGGTTGAGGAAGGGAGGGGGGAGGGCTAGAGGACTCTAGAAATTTGGGGGGTGGGGGGTGGGAGGAGAGGCTTGCTGGATTCTTCCTAAATGGATGTGCCAATTTTTTTTTTCTCCTTCTCACAATTTTTTCTTCCTCTGCTGTGAATAATATCTGGTTTGGGGCTGTTCACATGGGAACTGAGCTGCAGACGTCTGGATGACCCCCAGGGGGCGTAAAAGAGTTTGTAGTTTTCATCACCCGGTTTCTGCACCTTGGCAACTCTAAGCTGAGTGGACTTCAACTCCCAGAATCCCCCAGCCAGCAAATGCTCTGTTTGCTCTTAAGCATCTCTCTAACTCCGTGTTTCTCCTACTACCTGGAAGACGGTAGACTTCAACTCCCAGAACCCCCAGCCAGCAAATGCTCTGTTTGCTCTTAAGCATCTCTCTAACTCTGTGTTTCTCCTACTACCTGAAGACGGGTGGACTTCAACTCCCAGAATTCTCCAGCCAGCACATGCTCTGTTTGCTCTTAAGCATCTCTCTAACTCCGTGTTTCTCCTACTACTTGGAAGACGGGTGGACTTCAATTCCCAGAATTCCCCAGCCAGCACATGCTCTGTTCGCTCTTAAGCATCTCTCTAACTCCGTGTTTCTCCTACTACCTGGAAGACGGGTAGACTTCAAGTCCCAGAATTCCCCAGTCAGGGTATAAATGTGGGTGTGGTGGCTGGTTCAGTTTGTGACAAGCAAAAACTGGAAATACTCCATGATCTCTGCGTTACTGGACTTTGCCTGCTTTATTGGACTGCATTTGGATTAATCCTTGTATTGTTGACACTCTGCCTGTTTTATCGGAATGCTTGCAGTCTAATCTTTGTTTTGTGTGAGTAAAGTCTGAATTGGCAGCTAGCCACTGGGTTGCTGCCAGCTTTATCTTCAAAGAGTTTTGTCGTGTGGCTTAATTAACTCCGGGCCGTCTGTGGGGGTGCGTGTGTGGGACGGGGACAGAACACTTTAAGACTTGTGGACTTCAACTCCCAGAGTTCCTCAGCCAGTGAACCTGGCCGAGGAACTCTGGGAGTTGAAGTCCACAAGTCTTAAAGTTGCCAAGCTTGTTGTTTTTGTTACGCATCATCCTGATTATTATTGTTATTATTATTATCTAACACAGTGTTTCTCAACCTTGGAAGCTTGAAGATGGGTGGACTTCAACTCCCAGAATCCCCCAGATTCTGGGAGTTGAAGTCCACCCATCTTCAAGCTACCAAGGTTGAGAAACACTGATCTAACAGATCACACATATTAATTAGCTCACCACTGAGCGCATGCCTTCTTTTGGAAGGAGTACGAATGCATAACCTAGTTATACATCGACTGCTTTTCACCTTCCCTCAGAAGACCGATAGTCCTCGAGTTACGACCACCATCAAGCCCAAAATATCTGTTGCTAAGTGGGGCATTTGTTAAGTGAGTTTTGCCCCAAATTTACGAACTTTTCCGGCCAACAGCTATTAAGTGAATCACTGCAGATGTCAAGTTAAGTCAAACGGTCGTTAAGTGAATCCGGCTTCGCCATCGACTTTTGTCAGGTGGTCGCAAAGGGGGGAGGGGGGTGTCACATGACCCTGGGACACTGCCACTGTCATAAGCGTGAGTCAGTTGCCAAGCGTCTGCATTTTGATCACATGACCATGATGATGCCACCACGGACGTTAAGTGTGAAAAACGGTCATCAATCCCTTTTTCCACTCATCTTGTAACTTTGAACGGTCGCTAAACGAACTTTTGTTAAGTCAAGGACTGCCTGTACATGTCAGCTTACAGCCATTTTGTTTCAGCAACCGCTCAAAATTAACGACATAGAAAAAAAAAACCCTTACAACCAGTCCTGACGCTTATGGCTGTCGCAGCATCCGCGCGGTTTCCCTTGATCAAAATTCAGATGCTGGGCAACTGGCATGGACTTACGACGGTTGCGGTAGGCCGGTGTCCTATGGCCGCCCTCTGCGCCCTTCCCAGCCAGCTTCCAACCAGCAAACTCAACAGCAGGAGACGCATTTGCTTAACGACTCTGCGATTCGCTCAACAACCGTGGCGAGAAAGGTTTCATAAAATCAGGCGTGACTCACTCAGCAACCTCCTCGCTCAGGGATGGACATTCTGGACCCCGTCGTGGTCGTAAGCCGAGGACTACCTGTCCCATAAAAGTTCTTCCGGCCGCCAAAAGCAACAAAATTCACTCTGGCGCCGGCGAAGCCAACGTACGTATTTCCGTCTCGCTTCCTGAAGGGCTTGCGATTCTTCCAATTTCTTCGCTTCGTCTCGGAATTTCTTGATGCTCTCCTTCATCTCCTTGTTTTTGGCCAGCTCCTGCTTGATGTTCTCTACGAAGCCAGAGATAAAACCTTTCCGATGGCCCGAGGAAGAACATCTAGACTAAAGAAAAGGTCACAATTACACCTTGAAGCACGAAGACAGTCCTGCCTCGGGTGCCTGGTTGGCACCCACTGCCCAAGGCCTAGGGCTCAAGACGGGTTTTCCACGGAGAAACATCTCAGCTCCTTCAGGGTTGCCCCAAAGGTGTTTTTTTTCCCCCAAGAGGCAACCGGGCTCCCTGGTTTTTTCTTTTGAAGAGGTTTCGCTTCTCATTCAAGAAGCTTCTTCAGCTCTGACTGAATAGTGGGGAATGGAAGGATTTAAAACTGTCCTTGAGGCCCCTTGGAGGTTTGTCTGGTCCTCGGGGGTCACCTGAGTGGAGCAAATGGATGCGGAGCCTTCTTGGAACTGCTGACGTCTCCTATCTCCAGTCTACAACACAGTCCTCTCAATAATTCCAAGAAGGCTCCACCCCCACTTGCATCACTCTGAGGACACAGACAAACCTCCAAGGGGCCTCAACGACTGTCTAAAAGGATGCAAATGACCAGCTGTCTGCAAGGAGTATCAATCCTTCCATCCTCCATCATCCAGTCAGAGCTGAAGAAGCTTCTTGGAGGAGAAGCGAAACGGCTTCAAAGAAAAACCAGAAAGTTCAGTTGCTTCACCCTTGGGATGAGATACAAATGAATAAATAAAAGTGCTTGAAGAAAAGTTGCTCCAATCCAACTCCCTTCCTCCGAACTACATCGCTGCCAAGTAATTTTGATCTGTCTTAACCGACAGATGTTCCCACTTCCATTTTAAATTTGATTGGATCACCAAGAGCTGGAATCCTGCCTGCTCTCTGAAATTCTTGTCTTGTCCTGGCCGATTTGGAACTTGCAGACTGAAGGAGGAGGACATTAAAAAGAGATGGGCTGGACAGAAGCTGCGTTTTTTCTCTCTTTCAATTGTCTCCATTAATTACTTAAAACCAATTCCTATCGGGTATCCTGCTTGAAAAAATTAGTAAGGAAAATACCTACTTGATTCTACAGGTAATAACAGCTGCAAGAATTGTTTACGCTCAAAATTGGAAAGCAGAGAAAATACCTTTGGAAGAAGAAGTAATTTTTTTTTTAGATTGTGCAGAAATGAATAGATTAACTTGGATGATTAAGGATAGGAAAGAGTTAGAATATTTTAAGATATGGAATTATTTTTATTGTTGGTTGGAAAAGAGATATATGATTAATTTCAAAATTATGTATAAAAACTTGATGATTAGAATATGGTTATAGTAATGAATGGTTATAGTGGTTTGGATGAAGATCAAGATAGAAGAAACTTTTGGAAGAAGAAGGACAAAAAGAACTGAAGAAGATGACATCGAGAAGTCACAGGGGAGGGATGACTGATGTATTAAATGTTTGTCTTAAAAAATAAATTGAGAAATGCATGCCACGAAATATCATTTTAATGCCTGCCGATTAGTGTGCATTCAAAGGGACCATAAAGTTATTCTAAGTCTGTTTCTTTTAAAACAGAAGCAGTGTCTGGACTCAAGTGTGTCTTTCTTGCTAAGGGAACATTCACCCAAATCCTCTCTTTTGTTTCCAAAAACCGGTGACCTCAATGTACAAGGATCCCCAGGGAACTTTTGCCCTGACAAATCTCAGGAAGGAAGACAGATTAACTAAAGCTCTTGCCATCGTCTTATCTGATCACCCTCCTTTGAAAGCCATCTCAGGACAGTTTCTTTCATCCGAAGGGCAAAATCAACAGAGAAGCAAGACGTTATTTCATTTACAAACCACCCGAGGGCCTCTCTGCACCGACCCCAAAATTAGAAGATTAAAAAAGAGTCCCGGTCATCAGACATTTCAGATTGGCTATACACAAAGGGAAAACAAAATAAGGTGAGAAAACCAAATTTACCTTAGAGCTAACAAATAGGTCATGTCATTCATAAAACATATTAATTCTCAATAAAATCACCCTGGCCTCTTCTCTCCAGCTCCGTACCCTGGAGTAAATTTCCATTCCTACCTTCATTTCCTATTCCTGTTTCGTGTTTTCTATTCCTCCTTTCATTTTTGCCCTCAGAGTCAGCTACCGCCACCTGGACTTTATCATAATGCAGGTAGTCCTTGACTTACAGCCATTCGTTTAGTGACCATAAGAGCTGTGGTGGCGCAGTGGTGAGAATGCAGCATTGCAAGCTAATTCATTACTAGGAGTTCGATCCTGACCGGCTCACGGTTGACTCAGCCTTCCGTCCTTCCGAGGTAGGGTAAAATGAGGACGCAGATTGTTGAGGGTGATATGCTGACTCTGTAAACCTCTCACAGAGGGCTGTAAGGCACTGTGAAGCGGTATAAGACTAAGTGCTATTCCTATTGCTATTCAAAGCTACAACAGAGCCTTGATAGTACAGTGGTCTAATGCACCCTGTTATTAACACAGCTGCCTGCAATTACTGCAGGTTCGAATCTCACCAAGGCTCAAGGTTGACTCAGCCTTCCATCCTTTCTAAGGTAGGTAAATTGAGGACCCAGTTGTGGGGGCAATAACCTGACTTTGTATAAATATACAAAAGGATGAAGGCTATTGCTTAGAGCATTGTAAGCTGCCTTGAGTCTCCGGAGAAGGGGGGCATATAAATCAAATTAAAAAAAAAAACAGCACTAAAGTGACTTACGACCATTTTTAACATTCATGATCGTTTGCAGCATTCCCCATGTGGCCAAAAATCGGACGCTCGGCAGCTGATGCCTATTTATGATGGTTGCAACGTCCTGGGGGTCATGAGATCACAATCTGTGACTTTCCAACAAGCAAAATCCACGGGGAAGCCAGATTCATTTAACAACCAGGTTACTAACTTAACAACTGCAGTGATTCACTTAAGAACTGCGCAAAGAAAAAGCGTAAAAAAGGGCAAAGCTCGCTTATCAACTCTTTTGCTTAACATACAGAAATTTTGGGCTCTGACATAGTTGTTAAGTCATGGACTACCTGTTGGTCATCAACGCACCTGGTAAAATTCTAACGTCAATCTGCTCGTTCGGCACACGCAGGAAGGGTGCTGCACAGGGCCGGAGCATTGTCGGGATACAAGCCACGCACTTAAGAGATATTTCTAGGATTAGAAAAGAGAAAAGCGTGTTATTAACATTTGTCCCATGTGAAAGCTATGCTGAGAACGGCCAAGGAAAGATCTCGGCCATTAAACAGGGTGAGGAGTTGTAGAAAGCAGTTTGACGCTACAAACTAGGTGAGGATGACAAAGAGCAGCATGTCTTGCAGTTCAGGGTTGTGGGAATGCAGGTTGCAAGGTGTGGTGCAACCCCCATTGCATTAAGCATTGCATTTAATGTTGCGAGCCGCCCGGAGTCGCCTTGGTGCAGAGATGGGCAGCAAATGTAAGGAATAGATGGAACTAATTAAAGCCATCATACATGTGCTTTGAACACAGCAAAGAAGCAAACGCAGGAATTGTGATTATGTCAATCCAAGTTTGAGATTTATCAGATGCTGAGTTCCGCAGGAAATTTTGACTTGTACAGCAGGGGTCTCCAAACATGGCGACTGGAAGACTTGTGGACTTCAATTCCCAGAATTCTGGCCAGAATTCAAGTTTGGACATGCCGGTTAGGGAATTCTGGGAGTTGGAGTCCACAAGTCTTCCAGTCGCCAAGTTTGGACATCTTGGCCAGAGAATTCTGGGAGTTGAAGTCCATAAGTCTTCTTGCTGCCAAATTTGGACATGCTGGTTGGGGAATTCTGGGAGTTGAAGTCCACAAGTCTTCCAGTCGCCAAGTTTGGACATCTTGGCCAGAGAATTCTGGGAGTTGAAGTCCATAAGTCTTCTTGCTGCCAAATTTGGACATGCCGGTTAGGGAATTCTGGGAGTTGAAGTCCACAAGTCTCCCAGTCACCAACTTTGGACATCTTGGCCAGGGAATTCTGGGAGTTGAAGTCCATAAGACTTCTTGCTGCCAAATTTGGACATGCCGGTTGGGGAATTCTGGGAGTTGAAGTCCACAAGTCTCCCAGTCGCCAAGTTTGGACATCTTGGCCTGGGAATTCTGGGAGTTGAAGTCCACAAGTCACCAAAGTTGGGGAATCCTGGGAGTTGAAGTCCACAAGTCTTCCTGCTGCCAAATTTGGACATCTTGGCCAGGGAATTCTGGGAGTTGTAGTCCACAAGTCTTCCTGTTGTGAAATTTGGAGAGCCCTGCTCTAGAGCAACTTCCACTGCTGGGGTGGAGGGAGGGACTGTAGCTTCTGCAAGATCCCAGTTCGAATCCCAACAACTGAGCTGCACCGGAGGGGGGGCGGCTCCTCAATTCAATTCAAATTCAATTCAATTCAAATCTTTATTCTCAGGGCACAACCCCTGTACAATGAGATTGGTTGAGCTGCCTCAGTGCGCACACACACACACAACACAATGCATTTTTGTAACCCTCGGGAGCCTCTCTGGCATCATGGGAGGCGAGGCCTTCAGCCAGGAGAAGCTGCCGAGGCCCACCCCTGCCAACCCCCAAGGACCCCCGGCCTGCAGGCACCTTCCCTGTGCTGGGGGGGGGGGGGGCCGCTGGCTTCAGCCCCAGGCAACCCCGGAGGCGCTGCGTCCCGGCTGAGAGGATCCCTCCCCAAGGCTCTCCGTCCGGCTTACCCGGCAGCCCCAGGACGCGACCGCCGCCATCTTGGCCAAGGAAGCCTGGTGCCATGCGGCGCCCGGAGATGACGTCAGAGCGCGTCGGCAAACCGTTGCGTCACGCGCGCCGCGCAGGCGCAGAAGGGAACGGGGAAATGGGTGGCGGCGGCCACGTGGTTTTTTCCAGGGATCGCTGACCCGCCCCTCTGCTTTTGGGGCTCCCCGAGAAGGACCCCGGGGGCTTCCTCCAGAGCCCCCTTCTAGGGAAAATGGGGAGGGAGGAAAGGAAGAAGAAAGAAAGAAAGAAAGAAAGAAAGAAAGAAAAGAAAGAAAGAAAGAAAGAAAGAAAAGAAAGAAAGAAAGAAAGAAAAGAATAGAATTTTTCATTGGCCAAGTGTGATTGGACACACAAGGGATTTGTCTTGGAAGGGAGGAGAAGGAAAGGAAGAAAAAAGGAGGGAGGGAAGAAAGAGACAGGTAGTTCTCCGTGATGCCCAGAGGGAGAGAGGAGGAAAGAGAGGGAAAGGAAGGATGGAAGGGAGGGAGAAGAAGGAGAGGGAAAGGAAGGAAAGATAAAGGGAATGAGGGAAGAAAGGAAAGAGAAAGAGAGGGAAAGGAAGAATGGAGGGGATGGAGGGAGGGAGAAAGGAAGGAGATGGAAAGGAAGGAAGATGAAGAGAAGGAGGGAAGAAAGGAAAGGAGGAAAGAGAGGGAAAGGAAGGATGGATGGGAGGGAGGGAGAAAGGAAGGAGGAGAGGGAAAGGAAGGAAAGATGAGGGAGGGAGGGAGAAAGGAAGGAAAGATGAAGGGAATGAGGGAAGAAAGGAAAGAGGGAAAGGAAGAATGGATGGGATGGAGGGAGGAGAAAGGAAGGAGATGGAAAGGAAGGAAAGATGAAGGGAATGAGGGAAGAAAGGGAAGGAGCAAAGAGTGAAAGGAAGGATTGGATGGGAGGGAGGAAGAAAGGGAGGAGGAGAGGGAAAGGAAAGGAAGATAAAGGGAAGGAGGAAAGAGGGAAAGGAAGGATGGATGGGAGGGAGGGAGGAGGAGAGGGAAGGAGGGAAAGGAAAGATGGAGGGAAGGAGGAAAGAGGGAAAGGAAGGATGGATGGGGGAGGGAGAAAGGGAGGAGAGGGAAAGGAAGGGAAGGAGGGAAGAAAGGAAGGAGGAAAGAGGGAAAGGGAGGATGGATGGGAGGGAGGGAGAAAGGGAGGAGGAGAGGGTAAGGAAGGAAAGATGAAGGGAAGGAGGGAAGAAAGGGAAGGAGGAAAGAGGGAAAGGAAGGATGGCTGGGAGGGAGAAAGGAAGGAGATGGAAAGGAAGGAAAGATGAAGGGAAGGAGGGAAGAAAGGAAAAAGGAAAGAGAGAAAGGAAAAATAGATGGGACAGAGGGAGGGAGGAAGGAGAGGGAAAGGAAGTTAAGACGAAGGGAAGTAGGGAAGAAAGGAAGGAGGAAAGAGGGAAAGGAAGGAAGGATAGATGGATGGATAGAAGGAAGGGATGGATGGATGGATGGAAGGGTATTCCTTGCCTTCCTAATTCTCAGCCTTTCTGGTTGTGTCCAACATCCCCAAATGCAGGTAGGCCTCCACTTACAACAGCTCACTTAGCGACCATTCAAAGTGACTAAAGTTACTAAAAAAAGTAACTTTTTTCAAAGGAAAAAAAAGTGACTTATGACTGTTTTTGACACCTTCCGTTGGCGCATCCCCGCCGTCATGTGATCAAAATTCAGACGCTTGGCAACTGACTCGTATTTACGACGAGTATGACAAGCAAGTGTCCCCTCGGGGTCGCACGATTCCCTTTTGCGACCTTCTGACAAGCAAAGTCCATGGGAAAAGCCAGATTCACCTCAACAACCGTGTCACTAGCTGAACATTGGCAGTGATTCGCTTAACAACTGCAAGAAAGGTCGTAAAACGGGCCAAAACCTGCTTAGCGACGGTCTCACTTAGAAGCAGTCATTCTGAGGCTCCATTGTGGTCATAATAGCCATAGCCCTTAGACCAGTGTTTCTCAACCTTGGAAGCTTGAAGATGGCTGGACTTGAACTCCCAGAATCCCCCAGCCAGCGCTGCTGGCTGGGGGATTCTGGGAGTTGAAGTCCACCCATCTTCAAGCTACCAAGGTTGAGAAACACTGTCTTAGACTGATATACCGCGTCACAATGCTTTCCAGCCCCCTCTAAGCGGTTTAGAGTCAGCCTCTTTGCCCCCAACAATCTGGGTCCTCATTTTACCAACCTTGAAAGGACGAAAGGCTGAGTCAACCTTGAGCCTGGTGAGATTCGAACTGCCAAATGTCAAGATTCGAACTCTTAACCACTGCGCCACCTCAGCTCTTCGTCGAGGATCCTCTGTGCTAGTGAGAGTTTTGAAAGCTACAAGCTCAGGGAGCTTCCAGGAGAGCCGCGTGATGCCAGAGTCCCGTGTCAAGGGAGTTCACAAGAACACTTTTTAAGAATTTGGTATTATTTCTACGTTTATCCGTTTATGACTTGTAAGCCGCCCAGAGCGGCCTCACTGGTGTGACGGGAGGCGTATAAATTTAATAAAACGAGAAGTATGAGTCCCGCAGGAGAAGGGCGGTATAGAAATAAAATAAAATAAATAAATAAATAAAATAAAATAAATAAATAAATAAATAAATAAATAAGCTGCCGTCCAATCCCGCCAAACAACTGGAGAATTGAGGCAACGTTAAGTCACAAGAAAACATCTTTAATGTTGACAGATCTCGTACAGGATACAGTTTTGGTCGGACTGTTGTTCTATTCACACACATTTCCAAACACTTCCGTCTGCAAGAGGTTGCAAACGAGCTACTTTCCAAAGGAGAATAGATAACACAATGATCAGGACTAGCTTTCACCCCACCCACCCAAAAAAAAAGAGAATTTCCCCGAAGCTCTTTCACCAGTCAGGAACTGGGCAAAGAAGTGAAAGCCACCAGTTCCTGGGGGGGAAAAAAAGGAATTACTTCCGGACACAAGGCAAAACTTGGCGTGTTTTTGTTTTTTTTTTCCCCCAATTCAACAAGGTGGCGTCGCTACAAAAAGAACCAGAACTCGGCATGTTCAACGGTTTAAAAAACTGCCTCACAAAAAAAATAAAAAGAGAGGTAAAGACAGACAAAATGAGTAAGAGGGGAGGGGGGGGGAAAAAAAAACCCATCCCAGATTTTAAAAAGGGAATTATTAAAATGACTCCAGAAAGCAGCAGAGCTGTTGTCTTTGCCAGTCTTACATCCGGGCGGATTTTTTAAAAAAAGAAGAAAAAAATACACCATAAACAAGGAAGAATTACAAATCTAGACTCCCCTCCCTTCCCCCCCCCCCCCACTTCCCCATAGCATTTTTGTTTTTTGTTGTTTTTTTTTAAAAAAAGAAGAAGGTGGGACTTTTTAAGCATTTCGGTCAATCCGGACATCGATTTCCCGGCCCCGGAGCTGAATGCCATTCATTATCCGGCAGGCTCTCTCGGCCACCTCGGGAGACTCGAACCGGACCACTCCGCAGCCTTTGGACTTCCCGTTCTCCATTTTGATGTCCGCGTACAGCACGTGCCCTGCAAGAGAAGGAATCGGCCGTCGTGGATCTCTCGGCTGCGCTTGTTCGCCCCTTCTCTCCCTTTCATTTAAAAACATTCCTCGGCTCGCAAGCTTTGGTGCTCGCCCTGAGCTTGGCGGTTTTTCTGGCGCACGTTTCGTGACCCAATTATGTAACCTCATCAGTGCTAGAAGGGAGTGCGGTTTGCGGAGAGGGACAGAAAAAGGAGAAGGAAGCGGAAGAGGGAAAAGGAGGTGGGCTGTGGGGTCCTTGGCGCTCTCTGAGCTTGGGTGTTTTTCTTGCAGACGTTTTATTAACCAACTAAGGAACATCAGCCATGCTAGCTGGGTTTGGAGAGAGGAGGAGGAGGGGAAGAGAAAACAGGAGGAGGAGGAGGAGGAGGACTGGGGGGGGTCCATAATTACCCAATTATGTAATATCAGTGCTGGAAGGGAGTGTGGTTTGTGGAGAGGAAGAGGAGGAGGAGGAGAAAGGGGAAGAGAAAACAGGAGGAGGAGGAGGACTGGGGGGGTCCATAATTACCCAATTATGTAATATCAGTGCTGGAAGGGAGTGTGGTTTGTGGAGAGGAAGAGGAGGAGGAGGAGAAAGGGGAAGAGAAAACAGGAGGAAGGAGAAGAGGACTGTGGGGGTCCTTGGTGCTCTCTGAGCTTGGCGGTTTTCTTGCAGATATTTCATTACCAAAGTAGCTAACATCATCTGTGCTCGTCATTCCACAGACCAGAAATAAACTCAGAGGACAAAGCAGCCCTCAGAGACGGATAAAACGGGGGTCTCCAACCTCTGGGCTTTTGAGCCTTCTGGACCCGGGCCATGGAAATGCAGGGTGAGCGTGCACACACCCCGACTTGCACGAGCAGCAGGCAAGCACGTGTGCTGGCATGGAACCATCTCCCTGTCCGGTCTACAAAGCCGGAAAGATTGGGGAACTCTGTTATAAAAGCAGTGGTGAAATCCTAATTTTTTTACTACCGGTTTTGTGGGCGTGGTGTGGCTTCATGGGCGTGGCAGGGGAAGGATACTGCAAAATCCCCATTCCCTCCCCACCCTGGGGCCAGCTAGAGGTGGCATTTGCCTGTTCTCCGAACTACTCAAAATTTCTGCTACTGGTTCTCCTGGATTTCACCCCTGTATAAAAAAGGGCCAGACCATCAACATCTTATCAACAGACAAAGGCCAAACACGAACACTGATAACGTTACCTAGTTGGGTCATGAAATGTCTGCAAGAAAGCAAGCAAGCTCAGAGAGCAACAAGGAGCCTTGGTGGCGCAGCAGACTAAAGCACTGTTAAGTAGCACCAGCTGCCTGCAATTACTGTGAGTTCAAATCTCACCAGGCTCAAGGTTGACTCAGCCTTCCATCCTTTCTAAGGTAGGTAAATTGAGGACCCGGATTGTGGGGGCAATAAGCTGGCTTTGTATAAAAAAAGAACACCGCTTGGGGGGGGCAGCGAAAGCCCTAGTATGAAGTCTATTGTATGAAGTATGAAGTATTGTATGAAGTATTGTATGAAGTATGAAGTATGAAGTCTATTGCTTAAAAGCATTGTAAGCCACCCTGAGTCTCCGGAAAAGG